TGAAGATCTTCTTATTCCGCGGACAGTTCAAGCTCACCAAGGCGGTGGAGAAGAACTTGGCCCGCTTCGTCCTCTTCTTCGCGACGCTGTATGTACCGGCGTGGTACATACAAAGCCCCGCTGGCAGCCCGTGCTCCGGCCCAGGACCTATCTTTCTACCGCTCACTCTTGTCCTACGAGGTCGAGGAAATCGCCAGGGAAGCATCGAAGGCGTTTGGGCGTTATCTCTGGTACATCTCCGAGGAGCTGGTGTCGCTCGCTCTGTTCGACGTGAGGACCACGTTGGAGGAGAAGAGGCTGATCGTGGCTGCCTTTGGCCGCGACGGCGCAGAAGATCCGCCCAAGCGGATTTCACTGGAGCCTGACCTGACCGTACTGACGAGGAAGACGCTGCCTCGCTTCGTCAAGCTCCAAGTTTCTCGTGGACGCCCTTGGCCCGTCGGAATTCTTTGAGGTGGACCCGGCCGAGTGGCCGGAACGCCAGGACTACCAGCTCGCCCGCCGCCGAGCCGAGTCCCTCAAGGTTGTCAACGATTTTGCCGAACGGGGCATGGCTCTGATTCAGAGCTACAGCGCCATCCTCACGAAGGATGAGGAGCAAAGACAGTTCCTTCTCCAGGTCGTCGAGGAACATCGACGTCGTTTCCCCGACGTCCGCAAGTCGACACTAGATGAGTACCTGTGATTGGGATTTTGGTTCATAATGAGACCCCCCAGCGAGGGTCGAATGTACGCAGGTCAGCATGGTGTGCTTTTTTGTGTGCCAGGTGTGCCTTTTTTTACTTTTTGTCGAGACACCCATCGACGGTCTAATACACGCAGGTCAGCGTGGTGTGCCTTTTTGTGTGTCAGTGTGTCTTTTTGACTTTTTGTCGGGGAACATCGGCGCTTCCCAGACGTGCGCTATTCGACGTTAGCTGAGCAGCAATGAGTGGGATTTAGGCTCCCATGAAACCCCCAGTCAGGGGCTAATACACGCCGGTCAGGGTGGTGTGCCTTCATGACAGCGCGTGTCAGATGTATCTTTTTAACAAACTGCCATTGGTTGTTGGAGGGGTGGGAATTTTTATCGACGTTTTACACACCCAACGATTCGTTTAAAGTAGTGGTGTCAATTTCAGAAAACGTATGTCCAATGTCCGTCCAATGTCCAATACTTACGTCGACTGTCCGTCCAAAAATGTCCGAGCCAGCCATTTGTCCAAAGATGTCCGACACCTACGCAATGTTTTACACTCAACACTGTTATCTAATTTGCTTTTAATGAAGCGTCACCAGCTCGGAAATGTTAATCATATCGAATGCTGAGCTTTCTAATATAGCCAATCAATGTTAAACACGATTACTTTATAAAAATGTCGAGGTGTAGCAGGCGAATGTCCCATGTTGTCCAAAGCCTGCTGTCATTGTCCAACCGAATTCCGAATCGGACATTGGACAAGATCGGAATTCCGAAGATTCAAGTTCCGATTGACACCACTAGTTTAAAGCCAAATTGCATGTGTACTTTATCAAAAATTTAATTAAAAATGCGCTATCTATTTTTGGTGTACGTTTCCAAAAAAAAGGCTTTGGGGCACCTCTTAAATATGTTCGACCGATGTGAAAATTCACAGGAGGTATTTTCTCATGGTTTCACACCATACCCAGGCCTTCGCTCCTGAAAAATCAAAAGTTCAAAAATAAGTGTCACCCTAAATTGGACTCCCCATTCCATCGGTAGGTATATCGACCCACTATCGGCACCGGAACCACGCTTGGTCGTCACGAGTGGCTCCGAGCCGCCGACCGCGCGCCACGAACCACGCTACGCACGTGATCCGGCGGCGGCGCGTGGAGACCGGTTCAAGGGGCCCTCCGCTCCAACGGAGACGGCCCGCAGGCCACGACGCGTGTCGGAGCGAGGCGATGTCGCAGCGGTGGCGGTGGTGACTGGTGGTGGCGGTGCCGCTTCACCTGACACGTCCGCACACGCTCGGGGACGGGGCCGTCAGGCTCATACACGCACGTGCGCCGGTCGCGCGGTGCTCCCTCCGCACCCTGTGCGTGTTCGGATGGCTCTTTGTGCCGCCGCGCTGTCTGTCGGCCCCACCACGTTCGTCACACGTGCTACACGTACGCCACACGTGCGCCGCGTTCGTCTGTGTGACGATGCGCCGACCCCGGACGTTGACGTGTCAATGCGGTGACACCAGCAGTGGGAGGCGGCGGGTCCGTTGTTCGGCTGGGTGAATTGGTGGGTGAATGAAAAGGCCGGTATTGTCCCTTGTTGGAAAAGCTGCGGAACCGTTTTTGACGTCACCGGAATGTGCCGGACTGAGGGTGGGTGGGTGGCGTGTAGCCCATATATGACGTCATGGGACAATGGGCTGGGGTCACGTTAATCGGCGTAAGAGGGACATCGCTGCCGAGATTAGTAGGAGATGATCCTTTCTCTCTTATCTCGTGCCTCTTCTGAACGCACTTCATTTCCTTCAGTTTACCCTCTCCTCTCTGACTCCTTTCTTTCCTTCAATCCTACCCTTTCCCTTCTCTCTCTCTCTCTCTCTCTCTCTCTCTCTCTCTCTCTCTCTCTCTCTCTCTCTCTCTCTCTCTCTCTCTCTCTCTCTCTCTCTCTCTCTCTCTCTCTCTCTCTCTCTCTCTCCCTCTCCCTCTCCCTCCCTCTATCCTTTCCTCTTACTCTCCATCTCTCCCTCTTCGCATTCTTTAGTATTCATTCATCCAATTGTCACCCTCTGCAACGTGTCTAGAGGACCTCTCGAGTACCCCTCTTCAAGTCTACCCATCACGGCTCGGTCACGAAAGGAGTTCGGTCCCATTACGACCTGCCGCGGGCGTGACCGAAACAATCGGCCGTAGCAGACCTCTCGTCACTGACCAGTGGTGCATGATCACCGCCCGGTGCACACGCGGGGCGTGTCACTGTGAACCCGTTACAGCGGCGCGCAGACGACGGTCAGCCTGTTGGGTAGGCATGGGAAAGAACGAAGGCAAAAGATTTGTAGCGGTGGCAAGCTGGCCGGCATAGGTTTTTGGTCACAGACAGACAGCGTGTGAGCTTATTGGCCCAGCAAAAATAAGAGAACAATAGAAGTACACATAATAATACTAGCATGAAACGGCGTTTATTTCACAGCCATTAACCCAACTGATTGAGATAAGGCCTCCGGCATCTCTGTGGTCACGAATGCACCGTTTTTCTCGGTGCTTTCCACTGAACCATAGATGCAAGAGGCCTTCCTCTTACATGCAGGGTGTCACTCTGGTGACCAAATGCGTCATCGCCGCCTACACGTCACTGGTCCGATACGGTGTGGTGAATTCCCTACCGCCCTGCCGAGTTGAATCCCTGGCTGCCTCGCGTCGCTTTGCGGATCGCTCCATTACTGCAGGCAAAGCCAACGACCGGCAGGACATGGTAGTGCACTTACACTGTGCACGGGCTTCTGCACGTCACAGCGGCCCCGGGTTACACAAACTGCTGATACCTGGGCCGCTGTTCGTGCCGAAATAAAATGGCGGCGCACGCTCCGCTGTCGGTGCATTTGCCGAATATTTGTCGGGTGTCGACTTGACGCTGCGAGGCGTTCCTCCACGACTCGCGGCGGAAAACAATCAAGCACACCTGTGTGTGTTGAATAGCTGCGGTCGGAATGGCAGCCAGTGTGCAAGGGCCGTGGACACGAGGCAGTCCAGAACCGACCACCGGTGGCCGCGTTTCCTTCATCGGTCAAAAAACTCGGCCAGGTGGTGACCGAATTTGAACAGAGACCGTTGCAGATACATGGGTCTGTATGACCGCTCAAAGCGTTCGGTCAGACTCGTGTTGCGTTCGCCTGCAGCGGCGACGACCGGTCCTGGGCCGGCGGTGCTCATTTGCATACAATGTGCCGAGCGCTCCATGGCTCTTTGTCCATTGGTGTATGGGCCGGTCACTACTGGTCAGTGGTCAGGTCGTTTGAGGCGGTACCGAAGCTGCCGGTGTTGATATGTCGCGCTGTGAGCCTTCCCCAACAGACCGCCTCCCATATCCGGTTAAATGTGTCGGCGGAAGTGAGATCATTGGACACAGGTGAAAATATCAACGCCTTTTTAATTTTTCTGGTCGTTAATTTAATTATGGACCTGTATTTTACAGGAAACGTGATTTAACCTCAATTTCGACTAATTATCGCTGTGTCCGCTTCTTTGATATTTAAATCCGTTTCATTAGCATATTCTCACCATTGGTATATAACATATAACGGGAAGCCTTGGCCATCTGATATGATTGAGCAAGATACATATTTACTAGCTGGGAAACTGGGGCAACTTTCCTGGGCCCTGATGAGAAGTTTCCGGGATCATGAGAGCTCGAAGTTATCCCAGACTGGTTTCCGTGAACGAGAGGAAGTATGGACCTAGCATTTCGCTTTCCCAGCTTACAAATCGAAAATCAGAAATGGTCACTTCTGCAGTATTGTTGCGCAAAGTTGCACACGCCCTGCTGGGTGTGTTCTTTTTTGTTTATTATGCAACAGCACTATACTGTGGAAGGAACCATAGATAACATGAATCACTATCTATGATGATTCATGTTTTCTTTGAAGGAACCAATATTCATTTCATTGCGAGGAAAACTTAGAAAGCTGCAGAAACCCTTCTGCTACATGTCGTTAAAATATCGTTAAATGTTAATATGTCGTGGTTTTTGAGCGGTATGTCACTGACACGTGTGCTGTATAAAATTTTGGGAAGCAGGGTACATACTCTTCACCACTGTATCTCCTGGACACATACCGACGGGTCAACCCTCCGACAATCTGCCGTTCAATCCAGACACAAAACGTCCGTTTATGAACACCTGCACATCGATACGAGCGTTTGTGGACACCAAAAGAAAGCACACATTCACATGCCTCTAATGTTTAAACTCAGCCCACAGCACACAAGAGCCCTGTACTCTCCCATTTCAGCGCAACCAAACAAATACCAGTCCCGGACGAGTTCAAAAGACCCACCTTTTGTTCGTGTTGGACACCTGATCCGCTAATTCCGTCCATGGTTTCCGGCACCATTCGTGGCTCCCAACGCCGCGCCAACGGCCGTTGGGCACGGCGGCCGCTGGGCTGAAGGGACGACGCTCCTGGACCGTATCGCTGGCTCGCACACCGCACCTCACCGACCGCCCGGTCCGGACGCCGACCTCCGCTGGACTGGACTGATCAGCTGACGCGCTGGCGGCCCCGGGCGGCGGCGGCGGCGGCGGCAGCGGCGCCAGTGGCGGAGCCAGGTAGCGGCGGCGGCGGCTGACCGCCCCGGCCACAACACCGCCGCTCCGGCTCTGTACGGTCGGCTGCCGGCGTTACCTTGACGACCACAGACGCCGCCGTGTACCGCCGCGCCGAGTGACCGCCATCGCGGCCGCCCGGCCGGTCGGCCGCTCGGACCGGGCGCCGCGCCGCAGGACACTTGCCGCGATCAAAAGGATGGACGCGACCGGCGCGGCGGGTTCGCAGCAGGCGCCGGAGCGGGTCGTGCCGGTTGTTTGTGAAGCTTTGTCCGGTTCCATAAGCCGCAGCGTTTCCATGAACTCTGGCGTACTGCTGCCACCAAGGCCGGCGCTGTGCCCGTGCCGTGGTTTTACAGACACGTGCTCAGGTACCGATTGAGGGAGTGAGGGACCCCGCGACAGTCAGCTTGGTTATTACTCGAACTTGCGTGGTGCAAGCAATTAACTCCGACCTTGAGGGACGATGGTAATGACTATAGTCACCGTGGTAATGACCGTCATACAACGAAGGAATCGGGACTGAATCCACGTGATGCTGACTATCTGTACATACTATCCTCCCATTGTTATATTTTCAAGGACTGGGTCAATAATGGCAATTGTGCGGTAGCCAATATTTCGGTCTTTTGATAAGCAGGTTACGTGCTCATTTATACTCTTAATCGTGTCATTCGATCGTGACTTAACTTTCAGTGGCATTTCCAAAAATAGACACCTCCAACCTTTGATCGTGTGTTCACTCTATCAGAAAGTAATGAGGCGGAAAGTCCGACCGCCAGACCGTCATGGTGCTGCACTCACAAGCACCAATAATAGCGGCTGACTTGCAACCGGTGCTCTGAGTCTCAAAACAAGCTTTGCTGTTGCACCGACACGGCCCACAAAAACGTGAAGGCCCCACACACACGTCGGCAGAGGTCACCGCGCAGAAGCGAAGACGCGTCACTCAGCTGTTATCCCCGGTCCCCCTCCCCCCCCCGCCGCGGGCCGCTCGGCGGGCGGATAACATCCCGATCCTCCCCGGCCCTGCCCGAAGCCGAGTCGGGTGCAGGCGGGGCCGGGTTGTGCCGGTACCTGCGCCGCCGGCCAACCCGGGAGGCCAGTGACTCGGCTGGTCCGCCGACCGACCGACCGATGGTCCCCGGACGGGGCGGCAAAAACGGCGTCGGTGACAGCGGCCGCTCGGCAACGGGGCCCGCCTGTCGGCGGCAGGTACCGGCGGAGGAGGGCCGGGTGGACCTCAGCTCCCGTCAGCGAGGGAGGGCCGGTCCGACCTCTCGATGGACGGCGGGTGGGGGGGGGGGGGGGGCAGTCCGACCTCTCGGCGGACGGCGGAGGGCGTGGCGCCGGGGAGGAGGGGACGGTGGATGGGCAGACCCTCCGAGCAGACCTTCCCCAAATGAGAGAACGAACGTCGGACAGTTAGATGCTTATTTATTTATTTCAGTCCTGTTTTATATTCGTATTTCCTCCGGTCTCCATCAAAGGAATTAATTGGCTGGATGGTAATGGAGCAAGCAGTATATTGTTGGTGGGGAGTAATGTCAAGAAATGACCAAAAAGGTCCCTTATCTCACAATGCTTTGAACGCCTTACTTTTATCTTCAAAAGATTATTGAAGTACTCATGAGAATAACGAGCGTTTAACATTAATTAGATCGGCAGTTTTGACATGAGGCTGTTGCCGTCGGATGCCATCTAGCGGCCGAATCTCGGGAACTGCAACGCCCGAACGAGCCTAACCAGGGACTGCGTGTGCGCACAGGACGGTATCTCACCCGCTCGGCCAGCGGCGCGCGGGCGGCGGTCTGTGAGGGACCACTCATCAGCACCGTGTCTCCGGCGCGCCGAGCGGCTCCAGCCCAATGGGGGCTACAATATGCAAAGGCAGGACGTGACGGCATGCCTGGATGGCGTGCCGGAATCTGCGCGAAGGCGAAAACGTCAATGACTGACGCCACTTTCTCCCGCCGTCGCCGCTCGTTAGGTGTAGTAGAGCGCTGGGATTGCATTCGGGTTTGGTTCATTGGATCGGGTTCTTCGGCTCCGTTCTACCGGTATTGCGCTGTTGAATTCGTTATGCCTGTTACCCTGTCGCGTGTGAGGGGAATGTGACAGGCTATACTATCCGTGAGGCGTCGGTGAACCGTTTCACAACTGCAGGAAGGGAAGAAGATCTGATTGTTTTGTGGTCAAACGAACGTCAAGTACGAGTATGGTAATGGAAAGACGTGTCAAAATTTTTAGATGCTTTGTTCATGGTCGTGCGATAAAAAACATAAAAACGATTTTAATTATTTTGTCAAGTTTTTTCGTGCTAAACCTTCTTCCGTGGAATGACAAAACCATTTTGCCGTTTTTTTGTCTCTCCGTTGAAGAAGGTCCATCACGGAAAATATATTTTGGATTTGGTTTTTGGCTTCCTATAGTAATAACCAAAATATTATTCCATCTTATTTCAATTCCTATCATAATCATACTAAAAAAACCTTTCACACCATTCAAACCTTGGACTTGTTATATCCAAAATGCCAATAAAAACGTAGTCAGCTGCTGTGACTCAGAACACATTTTCTGCGTTCCGTTACACGCTCTAACAAAAGAGCAGACGGTATTTCCTGTGCCGTGAGTATTAATAATGATCAGCATTCCAAAACTTGGCTCGGTTTAAACATCCTCAAAACGGATTGACCGTGACAGGACTCGAACCTGCAGTCTCCTGATCCGAAGTCAGGCGCCTTATCCATTAGGCCACACGGCCGATGTTTTTTTTGCACATTTTGTTTCAGGGGCGGAGAATTGTCATAATCCCATAGGGTAGGTACAGCCCTCTGCAGACTGCGTGGTAGGTATTCTTTTTTCGACAAAACCGAGAATAACGCGAATACTATGCTATCGGGCACTCGGAAATCGTAACAGCAAGATGCGCGAGACTCCGCAGCTTACATTAGCATTATCATCGTATGCATTTTCCATCCAGTTTGGCAACAAAACCCAAAAGTTTATATTTGCCCCCAAAACGAACTTTTACATTTTGTTGCCACACAAGGCGTATGCTTTGTTTATTGATAGGCCCTATCGAAAGAGTGGAGCATGGCGCATCTATTTGCAGTGAGTTTCGACCGACTGATAACATGACTTTTGAATTATTACCAGTAAAACGCCTTTTGGGCGAAGAAAGAGCGAGCGAGATAGTGAGCCCTGCAGGCTGCACGTGCGGAAGGGTGAGAGGGTACTTCAAAAGGGCTTGCGCAAAGCACCCTTCTAACCGGTCGCTAGCGGTGTGCCAAATTTGAACGCAATCGGCCCAGCCGTTCCTGAGATCTGGAAGCGGCATTCTGCACGTGCGCACGTGCAAACGGGGTCCAAACTGACTTTTGCACGGCACCCTACTAACTGGTCCCCAGCCGTGTACCAAATTTGAGCGCAATCGGCCAAGCCGTTCTCGAGATCTGGAAACGCCCCCTGCACGTGCGCACGTGCAGTAGCACCTTAACCGCAACACATGGGAATGCATTGCCTGGTGGGTGCCTACCTGTATGCCAAGTTTCAGCGAAATCGCCCCAGTAATTACCGAGTTATTAAAATGGGAACAACTTTGACACCTCTTATTGTTGTATTTTGCACGTGCACTGGGGGTGACCCACATTCATCGAGAGTATCCTATTTTTGGTAGAAGGGATGTTGCTACCCTATAAAAATTACCGCAAGTCAATCGCCAAAGCGGCTGCTGAGATATGAGCCTTTCAAAATCACTACTTTTGCAAAACAGCTTGAACACCCTTGACTTTTCACGTGGCACGTGACACGACGGTCACTGAGGTGTATCAAAAGTAGTCAATTACGGGGTAGAAGGGATGGGGCTACCCAGCAAAAAAGACCGCAGGCCAATCGGTCCAGCGGTTGCTGAGATATAAGCCTCTCAAAAGCGTTACAGGCCGGGCCGGGCCGCTCATACTGAGATTTTTCCGTTATATTGAAAAGACTCACTTCGCTCGCTGCGCTCGCTCGCTCGTAATCAGTTTTGTCGGAAAAAGAATACCTACCACGCAGTCTGCTGAGGGCTGTACTTACTTTTCCAGCTTCTGGCGAATGGAAGCGTCCAATTCCTGCGTAGAAAAGCGCATAAAGGTACATACGCTTTCTCAACAGCATCACTCTCCTCGCGACTTAAGGCCGCCCCACACTGGAACTCGCATGCGGGTTGCGAGTTTGCGGGTTTTGAGTTTGCGGGCATAATACTAATTCATAGAGTGATTAGATTAGACCGCTCCCTTATGGTAACTTGATGAATGCAGTGAAGCCGGTGCACCTTCAGAAACTTACATATAGTCGCAATACCAGCGCGACGAACCAAAATTCGACTCCAACGAAAAACCCGCAAGCCCCTCGCAGAACTCGCAGACCTCGCAGCGAGGAAAATCGAAAGTTGACTCAAAATCAACTTTTGGAATGCGATGCAAGGTCGCTCGCAAGTTAAAAACATGCAGACTCGCCTGTTAGATGGTAGTGTGGGTCACTCACCTTAGATTGTATTATTTGATTTTGAGGAAACCCGAAAACCCAAAAACTCGCAGCCCGCATGCGAGTTCCAGTGTGGGGCGGCCTTTACGCAAAGCAGCCTGTGTCTCAGGCGTAATTTAAGCAGCCACTGGAGCACTATTATATTGTGGCCTTTGAATTTCAGGGGGTGCTCGAGCACCCCCAAGACCCCTAATTCTCCACCCCTGTTTTGTTTGTTGATGTTGGTCTGTAATAGCTTGTCTTTTTTTCTGTAGTCGATACTCCGTAATACGAGAAGTAGTAGCCTTTGCTCATATTAATGTTCAAATAATGCACAAAATTGGTTATATCAAAATAATACTGATATTTCGCCTTGCGGCATCATTGCAGGGTAGTCGATAGTAGTCGATACTCCTCTGAAACCTAAGCACTGCGTGGTGACGAAGGCGCAGGGGCCTATACCTGCGGCTGCATCGCAACCGGGCAGGCCCCGAGGTAGAGCCCTTGTTTGTTGTCGGTGCTGCACGGGGCACTGGCCGTGTTTTGACCGGCGCCCAGACTGTGTGCTGACGGCTGGACCCGCCCGGCCCGTGCACCCGAGGTCAGCGGCGAGGTCACTCAGCTGTCGGACCGCGGACGGACGGTGTGGGCAGCTCACCGGCCAGGCAGGGTCATATGTCATCCCGCTGGACCGCTAGTCAACTTAAGGAGTCTGTTCACGATCCGTCGATCCGTGTCCACGTTCGTGCAAAACGCCGGCGCTCTCTACGCACGGTGAGCAGCGCTCAAGGCTGCTGCGCTACTCATAAGTCTCCGAGTGTCTCTGATATCAGAGGACGGTCTTGGGACGTCTCTTCCGCCCTTCCGAGAGGGCTGTTGCGTGGGAAGCTTTCCACCTCAC